CCTTCACCATCCTCTCAGTCCTCTCCACAGGTATTCGGTGGCCTGCTTCCTACTGAGAGTGGGAAAGCAATCCTGTTCCTAGCACTGGGGCTCTCAAGAATCCCGTGATGGGGCCGATCAGCTGCAGTGGGAAAGTGCAGTGCAGAAGAGGCCTTTAGATCACAGGAGGCTCTGGCTTTGAGAAGACAGCAGAGGAGGGCAGTGCCCCGCCCTGGGCACTGAGGAGGCTTTGAGACAAGTTTTTATGTAGCCCAGGCAGGTCTTGAATATGCTACATAGCTCAGGATGGCCTTCTGACCCTTGAGTGCTGGAACTATAGGTATGTGCCATTACACCCAGTTTTATGAAATACTAAAGACTGAATCCAGAGCTTCATACATGCTAGACATGATCTCCATCTCAGCCTTATTTTTTGTGGGTTGTTTGTGTGTGGGTTGGTGTGGGTATAGGTATATGTACATGCATGCCAAGGTCAGAGGTCAACATCAGGTATCTTCCTTACTCTATACCTTATTTATTATTATTTAATGTGTATGGGTGTTTTGTCTGCCTGTGTGTCTATGTACCATGTATGTGTGTATACATCTGTGCCTATGAACCATGCATGTATGTATGTATGTTGCTCAGAGAGGCTTGGATCCCCTGGATTTGTAATTAGACGGTTGTCAATCACCATGCCACCCTGTGGGTACTGAGAGCTGGAATCCTGTAGAAGAGCAGCCAGTGCTCTTAACTGCCGAGTCATCCCTTCAGACCCTACTTTATTTTTTTGAGGTTCTCTTACTCAATCTGGGGCTCACTGATTCAGTAGGCTGGCCTAACTCCTGGGTTGCACCTATAAGGAGCTCACTCCCAAAGCTGGCTTGGGACTCACTATATAGCTCAAGTTAGCTTTAAACTGGTAAACTTCCTGCCTTGGTCTCCCAATTGTTGGGTTGGAGCCACAGTCTGACATGAGCCACATGTCTGGCTCTCTCTCTTTAAATGATGGTGAGTGCCAGGGGCATACCTGGTAGAATGCTTGCCTGGCATACTCTTGAGGTTCTATTCAAAGCACTAGAAGGGGAGAGTTACCAACTGGAGTATGGAGCCCACCACTGTGCTAACTATAGGAACCAGCATCTTCTCGGTCCTGAAGGCATCTAAGCTGGGCGTATTGCTGTCCCAGAGGCTGGCTCATTAGGCAGACTACCCATGCCTTGGATGAATGCTCTGTGCTTTCTGGGCAGGTTTGTGGCCAGCAGGTTCCAGGTACTATGTAACCTCTTGTCCTTCCTAGCCCTCAGTCATGCAGGATCCATGAGACTTTCACCCCAGTTTACAGGGGAGAGAACTGCTCAGCAGTGAGAGAGGTGTGCCAGGCCCCAAGGACCTGTCCTAAGACCAGGCTTAGGATTCTTGCCCCTAAGAGCTGCCCACAAGTCTCCCTCTTAGCCTCCCTACTGCTCACTCGAAAGAGCATCTTTTTTTTTTTTTTTTAATTTTGTATACAACATTCTGCTTCCATGTATATCTCCACACCAAAAGAGGGCACCAGATCTCATAAGGGATGGTTGTGAGCCACCATGTGGTTGCTGGGAATTGAACTCAGGACCTCTGGAGGAGCAGTCAGTGCTCTTAACCTCTGAGCCATCTCTCCAGCCCTGAAAGAGCATCTTAATGTATCTGATAGAGCTTTCCAGAGCTGGGGAGTGAGAGCAGATTGCAGCCTGTGGATTCAGGGGACGCTTGGGAAAGCCATGTCCAGATGCAGAGGGATGCAACAGCAGCAGCAGCCTGGCTAGAAGCTTCTACACAGAGAAGGTTTCTTAAGATGGCAGCTGAGGCGCCCAGATGCAGTAGTAGGTGGAGGCCACTTGCCTCCAACTGTTTTAAAAAACAAAATCTCATTCGGCCCTGGGGCTTTTGAGACAGGTATCACTGCAGCCCTGAATGACCTGGAATGCAGTATGTAGACCAGGCCTGGAACTCACTCTTGACCCTCCTCTCAACCTCCTGTGTGTGGGAACTACAGGTGTGCTCAGTCTTCCCCTCACTCCCCATCTTTCCCCATTTTGTCTCCCTCTCCACCTTCTCCCTCTCAGCCTGAGTAGTTCAGAAGCCCTGCTGGGGCCTTGCAGTCCTTCCCCTCACAGCTATAAGGTAAGTTTATGTTTCTGTCTAGACCCGGTTCAGTGGAGCCAGGAGTCACAGAGGCTAAGGTAGACTAACTCCCCTCCACCCCAGAAGCTGTAAACATCATCCGTCCTTTGTTCAGGGGATTACATGAAGGTTGTCTCCCCCCACCCCAGGCGGATGCTGTACTCCTTCTACAATGAGAAGCCTGTCACTCCCGTTGTTCTGTGATGCTCCCACACTACCTCCAACCTGTCTAGAGGCTCCCCTTTTTTATTTTAGTTTTTCAAGACATTTGAGCCTTGGCTGTCCTGAAACTTAACTCTCTAGACCAAGCTGGCCTCAAACTCAGAGACCCGCTTACCTCTGCCTCCCGAGTGCTGGGATTAAAGGTGTGCCCACCACCGCCTGACTCAAGGCTTTCTCTTAATAAAGCTCATTCTGAAGAGTAACTGGCTCAGCTTCCTTCTACTTGAACTAACCCAAAGTTAATAGTTTATAACCCAGACCTGTGAGTGCGTGTCATCAATGTAGCATCTACATCAAACTTCTAACCTCCAGGAACTCGTGTTTATCGGACATGCTAGGGATGTGTGCTAAATACACACTGATGAAGCTACACCCAGCTCGAGGTTCAGCATAAGCAGCCTTTATGCGGGTGTCACTAGGAGATGATTAACAACCCTTTCCGGTCCACTCCCTGGCACCTTTGTGAATAACTTCAGGATGAAAACTTCAGACTTGGCCATTTGTTGGACATGAAGGGCATTTAAAGTATTGTGTAACTTTTACCATCATTCCACACTGTAACTCTTTACCCACCAAACAGTTCCCTTCCCCTCCCTCAGCCTCAGCCACTAATCAGCTTCCAGCCTGTGAGTGGACTCCTGTGGTATTCGCTGTTCTGTGTCTGGGCCACTTTGCTTGCAGAGCGTCCATGCTGCAGCATGGGTTGGGGCTCCCTTTCATGCCAGCGGCACACACTGCGCTGTGAAGCTCTTCAGCTTAGAGAACCTTGGGGTTGCTTCCACTTGTGGGTTTCTGTGAGTCATACTGCTGGGGGAACAAGAGTAGACAAGTAAGTGTCTGAGGCACTGCTCTCAGCTCTGGCCACACAGCATTGTCATGTAGTGATAGCCTCTTGAGGATTCATCAAACTGTTTCCACCAGTTTTCATCTCAGCGGTGTGCAAGGATTCCAATTTTTTCATATTTTAACCAACTTTATTATCTTACTTAAAAAAAAAAAAAAGGAAGAAAAATATCAGGCCTGGTGGTGCAGGCCTGTAATCCCATCTACTTGGGGGTTTGAGGCAGGAAGATTGTAAATTCAAGGTTTGCCTGGGCTACAGGGTACCTTCAAGGCCAGCCTGGGCAATTTAATGACAACTTGTCTCAAAGTAAGTGGCTGGCAGTGTAGCTCAGTGAAGCCTTGTACACAACCCCTGGTGTCCCACCCAAGAAAAAAGCCGTTTCAGTGACAGTGAAGTACTCTTTCAGTATGGCTCTGAGATGCAGTTCAATAATTATAACTGATGCTGAGACGCTTCACTAAAAGGCTTTTTGTGCCATCGTTGTCTGCCCCACCCTCACCCCTTTCGAGAATGGATCTTAGGTTTTCCAGGCTGTCCTTTAAGTCACATGAATGATCTGGAACTTCTGACCTGTCTTCACTGCCAGAGTGTTGGGATTATAGGAGTGTGCCCCCCAAACTAAGCCGGTGTGAACTGGAACCCAGGGCTTTATGAATGCCAGGCAAGCACTCTGCCAGGTGGACTGCATCCCAGCCTCTCCCTGTGTTCCCAGTTTTTTTTTTTTAAGATTTTATTTTATTTATTATGCATACAACATTCTGCTTGCATGTATATCTGCACAGCAGAAGAGGGCACCCGATCTCATAGCGGATGGTTGTGAGCCATCATGTGGTTGCTGGGACTTCAACTCAGGACCTTTGGAAGAGCAGTCAGTGCTCTTAACCTCTGAGCCATCTCTCCAGCCCCTGTGCTCCCAGTTTTAAAACACTTTATGTACGTTATATTAGATGCCACAGAGCTACACCCACCCCTAAATCCTTTTACTTTTTTTTTTTTTTTTTGAGGTTTTGCTTTTTATTTTCTCTTTCTAACATTTCTCTGAGGTGGTGAGCAGGTCTCTTTCTCTCTTCTCTCCCCTCTCTCCCTTCCCCTACTCCTATCCCTCTCTCCAATAAAACTTCCCACTTAAGTTCTACCTGCATGGTGTACTTGTCTCTCACTGGTCATGGGATCTGCCAAGGTCCCCGTTACACCACATTATCAACAACCATTACCCAGCTTGCAATTAGTGTTAATGAGAAAGTTAAGTCCTTCACTTTTGTACTTCTTTTTCAAGATTATTTTGGCTATTCATGCTCCCTAGAGATTCAGTAAAATGTAGCATAGGTTTCTCTACTAAAAATAAAATGCCCTTGGGATTTTTGGTAAAGGTTATTAAATCAGTAGAATGATCTGGGTGGTGCTGAGAATCAACAGCATTAGTATCGACAGGCTTACCAGCAGCACGTCTTCCATTTAGTCTCAGGTACTAACATGTCCCTTCATTTTTATACTCTCATGGTCACCTAAGATCAACTAAATATGTGATCTGCTGAGGCCACTCAAGATTGAGCCTGGCCTCTGCCTAGAACTAAACACTTATTCCAGGAACCCACACAGTAGGGCTCAGACCTCCCAGTCGGTCCACACACCCCATATGAAAGGAGCTGGCTGGTTTCTCCAGAGTTGTGCAGGTGGCCCTAGAGCTACCTCAGTTCTGTTGAAGGCATGGTCTGTGTTTCCATTTCTTCACTTTCAGTGTAGCCCATCCACCCGTGCGTATTGGGATTACAGGTGTGCACTGCCACAGATGGCTTCCTGACTTGCAAATTCATTGGTTCTGCAAAAAACCCTAGGAAGTAATTGACTTAAGTTTGGCAGTTGCCTGTCAGTGGCCAGGTGGGCATGGCTACACCCACTCCCCATAGCTGCACAAAGCAAGAGAGGGCTATCAAGGAGCAGTGGACCCCTGCACTTTTGGGGGACAGTGGGGACTAGATTACTATGCAACCTCCCTAGCTGGATTGTGGATGGATGAACAGACAGATGGATGGATGAATAGAATGAATAAATGAACAAAACAGCTCATTGTCTCATCACTCAAATGCTACTTCTAGTAATGATAATGGATGGCATAACTAAGACACCCAAGCATGTGTCAGGAAATCTAAGCCATAAAAAAGGAGTGACCATGGGCCGGTGTATGCCCATGATCCCAGCATTCAGCCTTGCAGGCTGGCTCTGGAACCTGTTCCCATTTTGCTGCACCCATTCTTGGACCATGTCTGGTAAACTGCATGGTGTTCACATGGGCCATTGTTCCCCTGGATAATTTCCTACAGATTTACATGTGTGCTCCCTAACTGTGTGTGGTGGTGGGAGCCTTACCAAAGCAGTTTTCTCCTGCTTCCCCCGCGGTGCGGGTACATATGACAACAGGGTCCCCAGCTGGGAAGCCTTCTAAGTGATGTCCACACTCTGAGGCTGGGAGGGTGCCGGAATGGCTGGACCTTGGTCAGTTTCTGTTAAAAATTGACCAAAGGCCAAACCCAGTTCCTCAGAATTCCATGCAATTTCCATGTCTGCTCAGCTCACAGAAGGTGGAGGCCAGGTCCATCCTACAGTGGATCAGGAGGGCAAGAGCTTGGATGTGAGATCAATTGACTAATGGAAGCCTGTGGATGTGTTTGAGAGTGCAGACCAAGCGTGCATGCAGACCCGCCAACATGAGCACTCTGTCCTGTGGAAACAAACTGTGTGGCTGTGTGGACTGCAGAGCCTCAGCTTTTGGGTCTCTTCTGTTCTCTCCTGAGACTGTCCTGAAGCAGTCATCACACCTAGGGCTTGGGCCTGCCTTCTCTTAAGACTTCCACAAGCCTTCCCAGCCAAGCTCAGGTTCTATGTAATCACCAGTTGTCACTCTGGAAGGAACTGTAAATGGCCACAGAGTGTTTGGTGGACGTTTCCCTAGTTCCTCTTCCTGTGTCTTTCTGTTTAGGGTCTCTGATATGAATCACTAGTTTGTGCTATAAACTTAGTGAACTCTGCTCAGTGCCAGCCATTGATTTGCAGAACTTTGTCGGTTAGATCCTGGCTCCTTTCCCCAGCCCTTGCTTGCCAGAAGGTGTGTGTGTGAGCATGTACTCATACTCGTCTTGTGCTGGGGACAGAACTGGGCCTTACGTGTGCTTGATAAGTACTGTTGAGCTCACCTAGCCCTTTGATACACTCTTAGAGGATCTGTAGTCTGGAGCTGTTCTCTACTTCAATCAATCCTAGTATCTCACGCAGTTCCTTTGTGGGTCTTCAGCCAACTGAGTTAGTCTATTCAAGGCCAAACAGCAAGAGACCGTATGTATTGTATTAATTTTGCACAGCCCTGGAGATTTCCCCAAGATGTGGACCAGAGAAATGACCAAAACATTGGACATAATAGTACACACCTGTAATCCCAGCCCTCAGGAGGATTGTGAATTCAAGAGCAGCCTGGGCCATATAGCCTAGCTCAAGAGAGCAGGCACTGATAATGGAAGTTAGTGGTAGAGTGCTTACCTCACACGCACAAGGTTCCACCCACAACCAAAAAGAAATAAAGAGCAAGGGGCCACAGTTTCCTGCTTTCTGAAGCAAAGAATGATAATTCTGTAGAGAAAATAGAACACAGATCTCTGGGATAGGCTGGTGAATTCCAGGGATGTCACTTGGTGACTGTGGGGACTCTGAAGCCAGCTGGAAAATGAGGATCACCCCAATAAGATCATTTATTCAGGGTCCCCAGCCCTATTCAGTCTCTGCTTGATGAAGGCTGTTTTTGTCTTGGTACCTCCCAAGAAATCTTCACATTCCGTTGCAGGTGGCCCATCCTGCACCCAGTTCCTCTTTTAGCTTGAAACAGTCACAATACCAGTTTGGTGTGAGATGGCGCCCTCCTTCGTCGAGAACGCACCCAGGGTTGGAACCATGCCTCACAGGACTCCAGGAGGCACACATGTTATCTGCTCTGGCTAGTAGCAGGCTGCAGTGAGCAGGTGCAAGTCTTCCCCTGGCTCTGACCCAGTGAGTCATGTGGGCATATGCTCTGAACCTCGGCCCTCCTTTAGGAACCAATGGTACACTGAGTTAAGTTCCCGGTGGGTGAGGCAGGAAGGGCACAGGCTACATAACCTGTCTACTTGGCTCCTGCTCTGCAGATGCTGTTGGCCGCTGCCATCTCATTGGGTCTGCTGTTGCTGGCCCTCTTCCTGCTCCTGCGATACCTGGGCTGGGGCTCGTTAACTATCTTCTGGTTTGAGTTCGTGCAGCAGCCAGTCTACAACCTGCTCATGGGTGACACAAAGGAACAGCGCATCCTGCGCCATGTGCAGCAGCACGCCAAGCCTGGAGACCCTCAGAGCGTACTGGAGGCCATTGACACCTACTCCTCACAGAAGGAGTGGGCCATGCATGTGGGTGACGCAAAAGGTACGTGGCCCAGCCTGCAGGTGATGGCCTAGAAATGGGAACCCAGACCTGGGCATGGTGGTCTTTGCAGGGGAGCTTGTTAAAGAGGGAGGGAATCATGGATCATGCTCCTGCCTAGCCCCCTTAGAGACCATAACATTTACACTTGAAGGAACAGGTAGGTTGGCAAGAGGGGCCCCTGTGTGTGCAAAGGCTGGAAGACTCTAAGGTTGTGTGTTGGGTCCTCTGAACTATCAGGAGGCAAAAGTCCTTTCTTAGCAGCAAGTTAGGAGCATTAGAAGAGTGGGAATGTTACTGGTCTAGAGGGGTGAGGCCCATAACTGGGAGTGAGGTTCCCCTCCTGCCTATATTCATATCCTCCTCACTACCCTCTAGGCCAAATCATGGATACAGTGATTCGTGAGTATCGCCCCTCGCTGGTGCTGGAGCTAGGAGCTTACTGTGGCTACTCAGCGGTGCGGACGGCCCGCCTGCTGCCACCTGGAGGCAGGCTTCTCACCATGGAGATGAACCCTGACTATGCTGCCATCACTCAGCAAATGCTGAACTTTGCAGGCCTACAGGACAAAGTATGCCCCACTGTGGCAGCTGGGGCTGGGAGGGATGAGCAGGCAGGGGAGGGGGGGGATAAGTTGATCAGTCACTAAGCACCTTCCATGTCAAAAGAAGGAACCCCAGCAGGTTAGGGACAGTCTTACTGACCTATCCTTCAGAGCCAGCAACTCCCAGGGCTGCCCCAGGAGAGACTACACAGTGCAGACTCCTCTCCAGAGCCCCAAAGAAATTGGTATCTGTACATGTGGGGGTCCAGGCAGGGTCCTGCATATCCCTGTGGGCACAGCACTGACAGAACACTGTTCCAGGTCACCATCCTCCTTGGGGCATCCCAGGACCTCATCCCGCAGCTGAAGACAAAGTATGATGTGGACACATTAGACATGGTCTTTCTTGACCACTGGAAAGACCGCTACCTGCCAGACACACGTCTCCTGGAGGTAAGGGGAGCTGCCCCTGCTTGGTAGGATGGCTTCTGTGCTGTCACTGCTGGGGTAACTGGGCCTTGACCTCTCTGAAGAGTCCCATTGAGGGTGGCCCAAGGACATAGATGGGCCCAGGGAAAGTCTGGGAATTCATTGGGTACAAAGGCCCTGTGGCAGGTGGAGATGGAAGGGAAGGGGTTTTGGGTAGGAGTCCCAGGCCAGGGACTCCCTGTCCTGCATGCAGGGTTCTGCTAGGGAGTGAGATAAGCACCAGAGACCAGGACACCTGGGCCTAAAGGACACAGGGCTGAGTGTACCCGAAGGAACAGAACTGACCACATGTATGTGACTGGGGGTCAACTGGGGCTGGCCACAGGGATGGCAAGCATGTTCTGGATCTTCCTGAAGCTTCTGCTCTACAACTCCACTTTCCCTAGCCCCTTCTAGCCCTCAGCACTGCTGCTCAGCCAGCTTCACCTAGCAAAGAGCCCCAGTGATGATGGGGGAGCCATCTCTACTCCCAAGTGACTAGAGCTTGAGGATGCATTACCTTGTCCTGCTCTGTTGGCCATTCATGTTGTAGTGCACGAGACTATCCCATGAACTTACTGACAGGCCTGAGGGTCCCTTGGCTCTCTCACAGCCCACACCCTGAATTAGGGTGGTGGGGGTATTTTTATTGTGGGTGTGTGGTACTGTGAACAGAACCTTGGGTCATGCCTGCTGGGCAGTGCTCTTGCCACTGAGCTACACTTCAGCCCTGGCTATTTACTGGATTTTACTTTCCATTTTTGGGTTGCTTTATGTGTATGTGTATTTGAAGACAAATGTCTTACGTAGCCCAGGCTAGCCTGGGACTTTCAATCCTCCTACATGCTAAGATTACAGATGTGGGCCACATCAGACAGGATTGCTTTAAATTTTGTTTCATGTTTATGTTAAAAACAAACTCCTAAGCTTCCTGGGCAACCTTCCTTCAAATAAGCCATCCAGGTGTGATGTTTCCTGCTGTCCTCCCCCCAAACACAAAGTATACTTCCTTGTCAGGTACTACCAGTTACTTACACGCTGTCAGCAGACATACTTGCCAGAGTGGATAGACAAGCACCCCACATGTGAGGTTTCTCAGAACCACAGCTTCTGGAGCCACTGCTTTGGGGGCCCAGGGACAACTCCCTCCTTTTACTTAGAGCCCAGGCATCTGATGTCTTCCCAGGCCCAGGTGGGAAGTCCAGAGCAGATCCTCAAGGTCAGGGTTGTTGGTGAAGACCCCATATTTTTGGCCAAGTGAGGGAAACTGGCCTCCTGGTACCACTGTCTCTCTTCTCAGTCAACCTACAAGCCTGTTGCACATATGACTCTCTAGGGCTGGGGATGGAAGCAGGGGAGGATGGGTAGTTGCTGGAAGTCACTCTGTGGGGGAACAGCTGCCCCTGGATTGAAATAGGTTTGCCAAGCATTCATGACCCTCCCTGTCTGTCCCCTGCAGGAATGTGGCCTGTTGCGCAAGGGGACAGTGCTTCTAGCTGACAATGTCATCGTCCCGGGAGCCCCTGACTTCCTGAAATATGTGAGGGGGAGCAGCAGCTTTGAGTGCACACACTACAGCTCACACCTGGAATACATGGAAGTGGTAGATGGCCTAGAGAAGGCAATCTACAAGGGTCCAAGCAGCCCCATGAAATCTTGACCACACAGCCTGCCCTGAGTTCCCCTTCCAGCTTCCTTCTGCAAGATGACGCACACTCATGCTGACCCCTCTATGCTCCTGGAGCCTGTCCTCAAGTGCCTTGGTTCTTGATTATCGTACACTGGCACACTAACATTCATGGGCTCACAGTCCGAAACCATTACAATAAACCTGAAAAGCACCTGAAAAGGCTGAGTTAAAGCTGGAGGTGCAGTGGCTCACAGTGCCTGCCTAGCATACAAGAGGCCTTGAGTTTAATCTAAACACCAGAAAACAAAAGATTAAAAAAAAAAAGCAGGTGTCATCCTGCTGGTGTCACCTGGAAGATTCTCATAGGGTTTCAGTGCCAGATCCCTAGGCACTGTCATCATCAGTCAGGCCCAGTGAGAAGTCAGGGAATTGGAAATATCCAGATGCTGTTTGGCTGTCACCAAATGGCAGCAATGCCTGTGACAGTCCTGTTCCCAGCAACTCATACCACATTTGAATCTTAAGAATGAGTCATAAACTTTCTAGATGCAGTGCACACGTCTTTAATCCCAGCACCCAGGAGGTAAGGCAGGCAGATCTGAGTTCGAAGCCAGCCTGGTCTACACAGTGAGTTCCACGACAGCAAAAGCTACAGAGAAGAGACTCTTGTCTTAAAACAAAAGAAAAACAAAAACAAAACAAAACACACACACACAAAAAAAAAAAAAAAAAACCCCCACACACAAAAAAAAAAAAAAAAAACCCCCACACACAAAAAAAAAAAAAAAAAACCCCCACACACAAAAAAAAAAAAAAAAACTGAGTTATAGCCTGTTTTCTACTAATTATACTGTGATCCTTTTTCATTAAAGACATTAAAGAAATTTGGACACAAAGATGTCCACTGACAGTTATTCTTCTGAGCTACCATACTGCTTTCTTACCTGGTGCACAGCCTTTGTACTCATCTTTAACTAGGTAGGCACTGGGGACAGGTAGCTGTGGGGCCATGCTGTCCCTGCTGCTCTTGACCCATGTGTGGCACTCGGGAGACAGTTTCTCCAGTACTACTTCTTGGCTTACAGAAGTGGAAATGGGCTCAGACCACAGGGCTTGTCTGCCAGGCACCCTGCTGCCCAGGAAGCATCAACCCATAGCTAGGGTTGCCCTAGCCCCCACCTCCTCCCAGACTAGACACAAAGATCAATCCCACCTCAGCTGATCCCACCTGTGCCTAGATTAGTCAGCCAGCAGGCCACTCCTGGGCTGAGGGTGCCAACAGGAGCCAAGGTAGAAAAGAAACAAGCAGTGCCTACAGGCCAGGACCAGAACCACCACCACCACCCCCACCCCCACACACACTGCAAGCGGCCTTCAGCAAACTCCTCACCAGGTGGCAGCAGCGACTCAGTTAACCCAGTGGGATGTGCATTCTTGCTTATGCTGATGCTGAGCTGAGTCAGAAGACAGGCAGTTCCTTTGCTACTTTTTAATCTTTAAATTTTCTTACAAAAATTTCAATGTTTGCTGATACAGTCTTATTTTGGTTTCATTTTTAATGCTTTTTATCAGTTTTCTTCATTTTTAAGTCACAAACAGCAGGCACTGAAGAGCAGTTCCCCCCGCTGCTCCTGGCAGTCAGGCCCCGAGGTTACTTGAGGTTCTAGGCAGAGGCAGATGCAACAGCAGGGTGGCCCCAGCCACAGGCAGCTTAGAAGTACACTGCAGAGGGAAGGTTCCGAAGAATCCAAGGACAGGGGCTGGGGGCAAGCACAGCTTGTCCCCAAGCTGTCTGCTTCCTAAACTTCCCTGCCTGGACACTCTTGGAACAGCCTTCACTGTGGTCAGCCTGCATGCAGGGTAGTACTGCACCACTCTTGGGAGCCCAAGTTCTTTTCCAAGTCCCCCACTTATCCCTGCTATAGGACCTCCACTCCAGGCTCTATTTGTTCCTCTGTGGCACTGTGAATAGGGATACCCCCACCCCTTCTCTCCCACTACACAGCACCATGTCAGTAAACAGCTAACTCAGTCCTGGAGAGTTAGGTCAGGAGAGTGGAGGAGAGGGGAGGGTAAGACAGAAGGGATATCCATAAAGTCAGGCCCTGGTGGACAAGAGGCTTGGCCAACCCACCACATAAGGGTGGGGCTCCCGGCTATAGGATTAGGTCTGCTCAAGACGGCCCTTCCAGCTATTGCGATGTGATCCCTAAGAACAAACAGCTGGGCCAGGGCCCTGCAAAAGAAGACAAAGACAGATACTTTAGCCAGGAGCCCAGACAGGCAACAGAGCCATCAAAATGTAGCAGGGTAGCTTGGCCACCACACAGGGCAGTTGCCTGCAGCGGCCACACAAAAGCAGTGGCTGTGGGTTGAAGGGTGGGCCACGCCAAGAGCCTTGAGAGCAGGGCCAGTCCTATCTTGCTGGTCCTCACAGGGCCCTGTGATGAGGGTATTTGAGGAAATAAGAGCGCCTGTCTCCTCATAACCCTGATCTCTGGGGGCTGCGACAGGGCTGTGAGCACTGGGAGTGTCTTCCTGGGTCATGCCAAGGATCACACAGGAGCTCAGACATGCAGCAGCTGAGACAGACAAGAAGCCCCAGTCCACAGATAGGAAAACCAATCAAATGAAGGAACATACCAGGCATGCAAGCTAGACCCAGGAGTCAACAGGCTGAGGTTTAGCATCCCCCACGGCGTCCACCAGTCTGACCGAGGGCCTGCTGGGCCCAGGTGGAGGGGCCTTTCTGCCAGGGTCGGACTGCAGTGCATGGTGAGCAGGCAGTCAGGAGTTAGAAGCAGGAAAAAAAGACAGGTTAACTGCAACTAAATGGCAGGCTAGGCTGGTTGATGTGGGCAAGGAAGGGGTAAGATGGAGGTGGGCTTGCCAAGGCAGTACAGGGGGGTCAAGCCCTGGAACTTGTGTGGCTCACACTAGTTATGGAGTGGCACACAGATATACACAGAGGCTGGTACATGAAGCCAGGATACTGTCACCTAGTTGGTGGCAGATGCCTCCCTTTCCAGGGGACCAGAGTGGATAACCTGCCCCCACACACATACAAGAGAAGGGTACAGATCCACTCGCTCAGACTCTGGTCCTGTGCAGCCCATGTCCAGGCAGAGCTGCCCCATCTGCTCCTTTGCAGCAGGTGTATGCAGTGATCCCCTCCCTCAGCATCAGTGTCTGATGTATGGACTACTTCATGGGTCCTGCAAGTGAGTGCCACTCCAGCCACGTCCCAGAGCCCTGATCAAACTTAGCACTATATGGCTATTCTCTTGACAAGCCCAAAACATTAAGCCTCAATGGGTACTTGGTCACTGTCACTCACTTTCAACAGTTCCTTCTCAGAGGTCTCCCCTGTGGAGTCACTGCCCAGTGTCCTCCGCTCCCTCCGATCAATTGTGGCATACCCATCTGTAGGGTGGAACAGCAGGCAATGAGGGGAGCTCTGGGGAAGGCACCGTGGAGATAGGTGATCTTCCTTCAACCCAAATAGAGAAAGCCATGGACAGGGACTTCTGGTCTCCACGCCAGCTCCAACCAGCTCTGGGGCCTCCACAACACCTAGCTCTTTGTTGATATTTTACCATTTTATCTTCCCAGCATGAAATCCCTGGTCCTCTTCCCTGTGTGCCTGCACTCACCTGGACCAAGTGTATCCATGGGAATCACATCTCGGGTGGCTGACTTCTCCCCATCTGTAAGGCATGAGTAGTATCTGCTTGTGAGCAGTGGGCAGGTATGGGGAGGGCAGGGCACACACACTCACCACAGGACAGTCCTTAGTGACCCTCTATAATGCTTAGCACCCCTTCCCAGCCTCTGGCTGCTGGCATACACCCTGGCTCCCTGAGCAGCCACAGAGTTCCCAAGAGGCTGACTGCATGAACAGCCTCAAGCACTGAGGCTGTCTTAACAGCAAAGTCCTGTCTCCCTAACCCCACCTACCTTGTGTATTAGCACATGGGAGCTACCCCTTAGCCTCAGGGGTAAGTTTCATGTCCCTCTCCCCAGCTTGTGCTCACCAAGGTTCTTGTCTACCAGTGGCAGTGTGCTGTCATCAAAGCCCCCAGGACTTGGCATTCCTTTGGGTCCTTTGGCAGTGCTAGCAGACTAAGGAGGCACAAAACACAAATAAGAGGTAAGGCCCATGACACTCTTGCTTGGGGACAGACCTGGCAAAGTGAGAGAGAAGGGGGAGTAGCTGTACCTGGAAGCGTGCCTTGGTCCAGCCATCTCTCTGAAGGGCTCCACGAAGCTCCTTGTAGCTCCACACTGTCTGTAGCACGTGCGACGCTGCCTTGGCCTCCCGCACTGACTGGCTGCAGCAGCAGCAGCCAGGGTTGGGGTCAGTAGTCTACCTCTTCCAGGCTCCCTCCACCCCTCAAAACTCACCCTGCCCTCACCCACCTGGAGGCCACCAGTGCCACCAGTGCAGGCACACCACGGGCCTGCAGAAGGGAACGCGCATTGTCTAGGCTATTGGACACAATCTCATGGATGGTGTTGAGCACGGCTACCACTGTATCCTCCTCCAGGTGGGCACTAGGGTGAGCAGGTGCCTGTGCATTGCGAACATTCCGCACCAGCTCTGTCATGGCATAGCTCCCTAAGAGGCGGGATCAGATGTTAGGACACATCCTGCCCTACCCCTGGGGGAAGGAGGGGTGGTCAGACAAAGGGTATTTCCAGGCCTGCTATAACCTCTAAAGCAGAAGGCTGAGCCTCAAGGACTGAGAGAGGAAGACTTAAGCTCCCACAGCTCAGCATAGGAGCAGCCCAACCACAAGGGTGGAGTCTGGACCCCTCAACTCCATCCTCCAATGACCTGTCCCCAACACCTGCCACTTCACAAGTCCTGGGTTACACCCATTAGCATCCTCACCAATGAGGTCTTTGTTACGCTGGTCTAGTGAAAGGTTGCGAAGCGCAATGGCGACAGCACGCACCACCTTGTCAGTCTCTGACTGGAGCAGTTCTACCAGCACTGGCAGCCCACGCTCCTTGCGCACCGTGGCGCGGATGTACGTGGCCCACTGTGAGGGTGGCACAGGAGGTGACTGCTCAGAGGGGAGCTGTCTTACACAACATCTACCCCAACAACACCACACCAACCACCCTGGCCAGGGCACAGTGCTCAGAGCCACCTGACCCTGAGGATGTGCTTGTCCCCTCTTTTCCCACTGGCCCAGATGGAGACAAAGGCTCAAGGCAGAACCAGTGGAGTGTCTGGAATTCCTCCATCCAGGTCTTTCCTCCCTGCCAACCTGACTCCTTACCGTCCAGTTGCCGGCACTTAGATTCTGCAGGGCACCAGCTGCGGCTTCCAGGGTGTTGAAGTTCCGGCTCT